AGAGAGAATGCAGCTTTAACACATGAAGCTTTGACTTCACTCGGTTGTCTCCTGTGTTTTACGAACAAAGATGATCACAATAGAAGACCTACATGTTTAGTGTGGACGTCGTTTGGATGGTGCTGAATTCTGCCGTCTGACTTGTCTTCTTGTTTGTGTCTGCAGCCGTCCAGCTCTCTGCAGATTAAACAGACACACTTAACATTTACAGGAACAAGATCTACTGTGACATGCGTGTTCTTCATCATAGACGGACTGGACCTGCCTCTTCTTCTCAGTGAAGATGAGTTTGGTGAGGTAGGCGTGCAGCTCGCTCTCCTGGTTGATCCTCCTCTCCTCCATGTTGTTCCAACGTTTCTTCTTGGCGATCCGCAGAGCGCTGGGGATGTCGTCGCCAAAGTTCAGACGCTGCTCTTTAGCCAGGTTATACGCTGGGGAAACAAACGTAAAGATACACTCTTCTCACCGTGTGTGAGGATGTGGAACTACGGTGCATCAACCCCAGACGTGGAGAATCCCTCGTACCTTTCTGCAGGTTGCCGATGGCTTCGTCGTAGCTCTCCATCTCCAGGTGACACTGACCCATGAAGAAGTGAGCTTTGACCGACTGGCCGTCGAGCTCCAGAGCGTGTCTGCAGTCGGCCAGAGCTTTGTCGTACTGCTGCAGCTTCACGTAGCACAGCGCTCTGTTGGTGTAGTACGCTGGGACGGACGGACTGTGGGTCTGAAACATCAAAACACAGATTCAACATTTTGCTCTCCGTATACTCAACTCAAGAGGATCCGTCAAACAGACTCAGGATCAGATGGAGCGAAGCTCGCCTGTTGTGGCACTAAAAATACATCGAATCTTAACTTATTGTGTTGTATCATTTCGTATCGTATCATAACGTATCGTGTTGTAATGTATCGTGTTGTAACCTATCGTGTTGTAACGTATCGTGTTGTATCGTGTTGTAACGTATCGTGTTGTAACATATGTTGTAACATATCGTGTTGTAATGTGTTGTAACGTATCGTGTTGTATCGTGTTGTAACGTATCGTTTTGTATCTTGTTGTAACATATCGTGTTGTATCGTGTTGTAACCTATCGTGTTGTATCGTGTTGTAACGTATCGTGTTGTATCGTGTTGTAACCTATCGTGTTGTATCGTGTTGTAACGTATCGTGTTGTATCGTGTTGTAACGTATCGTGTTGTATCGCGTTGTAACGTATCGTGTTGTAACATATCGTGTTGTAACATATCGTGTTGTATCGTGTTGTAACGTATCGTGTTGTATCGTAACGTAATTTCAATAGATATCTTTAGGGGAAACACGAGGGCATTGCATGTATTCAGGCTTTTTAAAAGAGTGGAACCCAGTTGTTAGAACCCGGTTCTCCATCTCTTACTATGGCTCTGCTGTAGCAGGCAGCAGCTTCCAGGTACTTTCGGCTCAGGAAGAGGCGGTTGCCCTGTTCCTTCAGCTCCTGAGCCGACACCGAGGCGCTTTTCTCCGGGCTTTCTGACATTCTGTCCACCAGGCTCGCTGCACCGCCGGCAGCCGGCCCTTCAGTCTGCTTCCCAATCCTGACGCTCAGACCCCAACAGACCAGGACGGAAACTGAGACCAGAAGAGCAGAGACTAGAACCTTAAGCTGGTCGACATACTGACAACCGTTATTTAAGGTGTTCAACAACATATTCCAGGTCGCTTCTGGAAATCTCTGGACATTGTAATACTTGTGCTGACTTGTTTGTATATGTTGTGAATGTTAATTACATTGATTTAAATTAATAGTAAAAAAGTTGCCTGTAACAAGTCTGTTAAACTCTTTTTATTTTAGTCTGAGTTATCTTAAAAAGTCTAGAAGAAAACTTGCCTCTGGATGTTAGAATTGAAAGTATTTTATTTAAATTACTTTTGTTTATTTGTTTTTATTTTTACATTTTTTGTTGTCATTTTTTGTCTTGCAAACTCATATTTACTGTTGTTGATTTCATATTTTTTAACAGCATATGAAACATGAATTAACAGTATTTCTGAGTCGCTTTATTATGTATTTGAAGGTAATTTATTCATGTGATTAGGAGCTAAAGGTGAGGGAGTGTTTAGAGGAGCTGGAGGTGGATCAGAGGGGCTCGCATTGATGATTCATGCCGACATTGGGCCGACCTGAGACCGGTACCGACACACCGCACTACGGTCTCATCAGGGCCGAACTTGAGCCGTTAAATTGGGCCGTATTTATTGTCACTGTCGGAGCGATAACTCCGCATATTTCTCTGGCTGAGTTATTGAACATCAAATACAATAAAAACCGATCGATGACGTTACTGATTACTGATCTACACGTTAACAGAGACAAAACAAACACTGACGTGTCATATTTTTAAGCTAAATTCAGGCTGCTGTTTTCAGGTAACTCAATGCTAACGTGTAGCTAACGTGTCGCTAGCGTTAGTAGCATGAAGCTAACAAGCTAGCATTATTTCACACCGATACATAATCGATAACATCACACTGACATACCTGCGTAGCTGCTGGTTCACCTCTCTAGTATTAAAAAGTAAAAACGTTGTGAAATGAGCTGTTTGTTGTGATGGAGCTAGCTACCTAGCTACAAGTTGTCTTGCCAACAACTGTTTTGGTTGTGATCTGTGACGCGTCATCGGGGGACACGCCCCCACGTCAACAATGAAAATAATAGTTTTTACTTTTTATTGTGAAAAAATATATAAATATATGTTTTCTAAATAATAAATAAAATATTATTAAATAAATTATATAAAAATAAATAACTTCAGACTCTTTTTGAAATTCTATTGCACCAATAAAATAAATACATTAAACTCATGCATAGATATAACGATAAGATAAAGAGCTAAACATGTTTTAATTGACAAAGCATCATAACAGGTTTCAAACATTTGCATAGTTTATATGTTTCTGTCTCTAACAATAATAATGTTTTCCATTAACAAACAAATATTTTGCTCCATTGTGCAATTTTCTTTTTTAAAAAACATAATAGTAAAACACAAGAATCCAGCATAGTTTAAAGTTCATAAAGTGCTAATGCTTTCATACAGCCAGTCTCCACGCTAAAACTTTATCTAAACCTTCGACATTAAGAATCAAGATTCATAAATAAACGTGTTTTTTTTAACGACCCTTAAAAAAGCTTCCGTTCGTAGTTCAGAGGAAAGTTAAGGGAAACCGGTTCAGTGGTCTAGATGTGAAGTGAAAACAGTGACATCTGCCCTTTATTTGGTATTTTTACAAATATTAATAATGTGATCATCTAGTCCAGATGTGAGCAGTCTAAGTAATTGTTTTTTTGTACAATAAAGGTTTCACAAATGTCAACGTGTGTTTGAGACAGCTTTACCTAAGATGTCTGACACTCTTTCACCACAAAGAGAAGGCAGATCGTTCATACATGCACCTTGTTTCCCTTAAACTTTCCTCTTAACTGATGAATGCAAAACTCTGAATTAAAAGCAGACTTCAGCGTCGTCGGTTTATTATTACTGTGAATATTCTTGGCAGCCAGTTCAGACACAACTAACTAAAGTTAATAACTTCTATTCGTCTGTCACCGTTGCATTAAGACAGTTTGGACCTGAAGACGAGCTGTGATCTGAAATATAAAGTGCATCACTGATAAAATGTCTTTATGGAGGAATGTGTTAACTTCTGTTGGAGCTCTGACTCCTAAAGAAAAATGTCTGTCGAGCTGAAACACGACTCAGCTCACGAAACACGACGCCTCGTTTTCTACTACAAACTCCTGAAGTGTTGGACTGTTCCTTTAAAGACCTCCATGTTCTCGGTCAGAGGGGTCGAGGCTGATGCAGACCTGCCGTCTCTGGGCTCAGAGCCGGACTGTGTTTCGTCTTCGAGGGACTCCAGTTCCCCAGAGAAGCCTGGGCGGCCTTACGGTGAGCCAGCCGGTGAGTGATGGAGAAGCCGGCGTTTCCCTCCAGCTGAGACAAAACCACCAGCACCTGTCTGAGACCGAGACGGAGAGAATTTCACATCCGACATACAAAATCAGATCCATGAAGTTTACCACATTATGTTCACATTACAGTCTGGTCACTTCGACGCAACAGAAGGTAAAGTAGTAACTCTTCCAGAGCTGTAAAATCTCGTCTGCGTGTTATAAACGTTTGAGCAGCTGAGACTCGTGGATCTTTCACAGTCTTTCCTTCTCCTTTGCTCTGGTGCTGCTGTGGTTGGACGTGCACACTCTCCACCTGCTTTACATTGAAAATATGATGTTAATCATATTTACATGAATAAATATTGATTACGTCTCTTTTTGTCTGAACAAATATTAAGAATAACAGTTTTTGTTTATGATATAAAACAGGAAAATATAACTTAGTCTTGTTTTTCTCTCTCTTGTCTTAAATCATGACCTCAGTAGTCTGAACCTGTGCAGAGGATGATCTCAAATCATGACCTCAGTAATCTGAACCTGTGCAGAAGATGATCTCAAATCATGACATCAGTAATCTGAACCTGTGCAGAAGATGATCTCAAATCATGACCTCAGTAATCTGAACCTGTGCAGAAGATGATCTCAAATCATGACCTCAGTAATCTGAACCTGTGCAGAAGATGATCTTAAATCATGACATCAGTAATCTGAACCTGTGCAGAGGATGATCTCAAATCATGACCTCAGTAATCTGAACCTGTGCAGAAGAT